GCGCCAGGCGGCGGGCGCGGCGGCGGGCGCGTGGGCGGCGGCGGCAACGGGGCAAAGCGGCAGGTAGCTGCCAGCGCGATGGATTACGTCCAGAGCAGCCGAGGGACCAAGGCGGCGCGCGGCGAAGGGCGCACGCTGCAGCAGGTGGGCTCTATGTTCCATGACGCCTGTGGGGCAGGCGCACACATGTAGGCCACCACAAAGGTGGCGGCCTGCCCGGCAGCTCGATAAATGTGGCAGGCTGCAAGCTCATGCCTGCTGCTTCTTTGAGCATGAAGCTGGTGCCAACCGTCGGCTTCGCTGCCACAGATCCTCACAATTCCCACCCTCGCCATTCCACCAACAACAGGGCAGCACTGTGCGGTTCGACCTCGGCGGGCTCCACCTCTTCTCCGCCATCGAGGCGGTCGAGGCGATGGGCCAAGATGCGATGGACGACGCCGCAGCGCCTGCGGCCGCGGGGGTCGCCTCGGCGGGCCCCCCCATCAGCTAGGCTGCGGTCTCGGCCTGGGGGGCGGCATTCCCCAGCGCCTCTGCGATTGAGCAGCGGCCGCACCACCACCACAAAACCAACCACCAGCAGCAGCAGCAGCAGCAGCAGCAGCAGCAGCAGCAGCCGGTGCGCCAGCCCATGGCCCCCCGCTGGGCGCCGCAGGTGATCCCGCCGCCCACGCGTACGCCCGGCCTGCCGTCTGGGGCGCCGCCGCTGCCGCAGCCCCCCGTGCCGGCGAGCGCGCCGCACGCAGCCCTGCAGCAGGCGGGGCCGCCGGCTGCGCTGGGGGCAGGCGCGGGCGCCAATGCCTGCGCCGCGGGCGGCCTCGTGGGCGTGGGCACCGAGGAGGCCGCCGCGCGCGCCCAGCTGTGCGAGGCGCTCGGAGTGGGCCTGTGCGGCCCCTGCGGCATTGCGCGTGCCTTGGACGTGCTGCTGCAGCACTTCAAGGTCACAGCGGGGCAAACAGAGATTCTCCTTGATGAGGATTTCTGGGCTGAAATCAAGGCGGAGAGGACCCTGGCCATGGGGGACAGGGCGGCGGTGGCGCAGCTGCGGGCCAAGTTGGCCGCGGCCGCCGCGGCTGCAAAAAGGGATTAGCGGCAAGGACAAACCTAATGTAGTGAGCAGCTGGCTTGGGACCCGAGTTTAGAAAGACCCGGAACATGATCATCCTCGTCCTCCTCCTCATCACGCCGCACCTTTTCCTGCACTGCACGCCTGTCCACCTGGGCAGGGACGAGCTGCAGGGTGTGCGCACACCGGGCAGGGCGAAAGGGGGTTTGGCATATCTTGCTTTGCACCTGCCTCATACGGCCAAACGCACTGACGGGTATGGATGCACGCGCCGGCAGGGTCTCATACAGGCCGCCTGGCTGCGCACTGTAGGTAGCTCTGGAGAAATGCGCCCGTGCTGCCGCCTTGCTCGTCAAATGATGCAACGGCCCGCCACGCACATGCGGGGTCACATAGCGCAGAGCTGATGCCGGGGTTGGTGACCGCACGGGGTGGGACTAACCAGCACCTCATTCGTCCCCTTCCTCACTGAATGAAGCACCAATGCCGCTCCATAACGACTCTTCTGCCAATCTCCATGCATGATTGCACCCAAAACGACACGCATGATCACCCAAAACGATAACCGCTTGAAACGTGACGACCCGATGAACCTTGACTTGCTCACTGACATGCTGACCCTCTGACCTTGCCGGGTATTCACAATGTGGGAACACATCAGTGATTCCATCACACCCTTTGTAACCATGACCTTTGTGACTTGTGTGACCATGACCATGACCTCTGTGTAACCATGACCTTGATGACTTCCAGCCGTGCGGGAGGGTCTGGAGGAGCTCACGGCGTGGTTGCTGGCGCTTGCCTCCCATTCTTGCTTTCATGCATTTCTAGCGTAACTCTTTGACGGCACCTGGAAGAATGGTCAGGGGTTCATGTGCTGGGCCCGGCTGGTGGGCGGCAGGTATTGGCTGACCCATCATGGGGGCAAGCGAAAGTAGGCACAGCATGGGCGAGCCAGGTAGGTGGTTGTCGCACGCGGCCTACGAAGCCTGCAATGAGGTGTCATGCACCTGTTCTGCAGTGGTGCTGCATGCTTACACCTCGACGACCCTTGACGCATGCACACGTTGTGCAAGGAGCAGCGGTTGTGTGACCGGGTGCCGAACGTGGTCGCTGCTCAAGTCTGGGCTACTGACATAGGGCTTGCGTGAACAATGCGCCTTGATTGAAACACAATTTTGCACCACTCATGATGCTTTAATTGGCGCATAACAGCGCGCAACACACGATCTCCCTTTGTAACTCGGTCTGATCGCTTACAGTGTTGTGCCCGTGGCAGTAGGCGAACTGTAACTTAAGTAAGCCATTGAAGCTTCGTGATCCCTAGTTTGTTACGCGCTCTCAGCACCTAAAACCCGCCAACCCTTTCATCAGCGGCAATTGCGTGAACCCAGCGGCGCTCATCACCTTTGGGCGGGTTTGGCCCCATGCCCAACGGCGCCGCGGCCGCCGTCGGCGTGCATCCCATAGCCAAGTTGGGCTTTGGAGGCGCCGGCCTGTCTGCCTACGAGGCAGCTCGGCCGTCCTACCCCCCAGAGTCCATCGCCCACTGCATCGACGCGCTCGGCCTCCGCCGCCCCGGCCCCGTCTGCGATGGCAACTCGCCTGCCGGCGGTCCCCCTGCCGCGGGCAGGCCGCGTGTGCTCGACCTGGCAGCAGGCACCGGGAAGCTGACTGCCCAGCTAGCAGCCCTGGACCTGTTTGACCTCTCCGCGGCCGAGCCGAGCGCGGGCATGTGCGACGCGTTCTCGCGCGCGTGCCCGGGGGTGCCGGTCGTGGCGGCAGAGGCGGCGGCGCTGCCTTTCGAGGACGCAGCGTTTGACGCCGTCTTCGTGGGCCAGGCCTTCCATTGTGAGTGGGGGGTAACATTTCTTCGTGCGAGTTGCTGCCTGCCATGGCATTTGTGCTGTGAGAAGGTGTACGGTTGCAGGAGCAGGCCTCCCCTTGGCGCACCGCCACGCAACAACACAGCCAGGCATCACGCTCGCCTGCACACCCCTCAAGCGCTCGCCGCTCAACAAGGACCTCCCCAAACACCGTCCCGGCCCCTCGCCGCGCCCGCGCGCGTTCTCAGGGTTTGCCACGCCCGAGGCGTGCCGGGAGCTGCGGCGCGTCCTGAGGCCGGGCGGCGGCCTGGCGCTGCTGTGGAACCTGGAGGATGCAGGGCAGCCCTGGATGAGGGACTTCCTGGACATCTTCCAGCCGTACGCCAGGCGGGCAGGCGTCCCAAACTACGGTGAGCCATTATCACGAGGAACGTTCTTATTGCTGTTATGTTGCCTGCAGACGGACATATGCAGCCCAACCCCTTTGGTGACGCCATGCGGCGACGGGGGTAGGGGACGGCCGGTTGCTGAGCCAGCCGCGTGGGCGCCGCGCGTCCTGCAAGCCGGCCTGCGCCTCCCACACGCGAGCCGACCCGACAGCTCGCCTCCGGGCCGCCTGGCGACGGCAGGCGAGGCCGCAGCTTACAAAACAATTGCGGGCCCATTGCCGGCCGGGCGGCCTGGCCCTGAACTGCCGCCGTCACCTGATGCACGAACGCAGGCCTTGGCACTCACACGGCCGCCCTGGCGTCCCCCTGGTTTGCTGAGCTGTTTGACGTGTCGCCCAGCCCTTCCGCCTGCAGCAAGCTGTTCCGGTCCAGGCAGCCGCTCACCAGGGAGGGCGCCTGGCTGCGCGTGCTGAGCAACAGCTTCGTGGCATCACTGCCCGAGGCGGAGCGCGAGGGGGAGGTGCGGCGGGCGGTGGCGGCGTGGGCGGACCGGCATGCAGAGAGGTTTGGTGGGCGGCTGCGAGGGGGCGAGAGCGAGGGGGCGGAGGAAGGGGTGGCCATGTTTGATATCGTGACTGAGGCCTTTGTGTGCAGGCGGAGATGAACAAACGAGAGTTTTTCTTCCACAGCCAGCACAAGAAGAGCACCCTGTGGCAGCTTTCTTGCTGCTAGCCCCGCATTTCATTGATCGTCGGAGCGCAATCACTATGACGCAACACTTGATGCTGACGCACTCTTATTCGTTCTTGCTACGGCTATTGCGCGGGCCGGCTGACACACTTGCGTTTGGCCGACACGCCTTGGCCGCCTCCCTCGCTTCTGTCTGGGCAGGTATGCGTGTGTGAAGACATGCTGGGCGACTGCACAGCATATCCCTCCAATTCCACACAAATGAATTGAAGAATATTCATACATATCCGTGTAAGCCATTGCGATATTGATCTGGGGATCTAGTGCTCGATCGTCACAGCCTACCCACACGTCACCAAACGATTTTGAGTTATCGATCTTAGCACACCACGGCCCAAGGGGCCCAGGCGGGCGCCATGGGGGACAAGCCCACCCAGGGAACGGGCCTCGTCAACATGGTGGACAGTGAGTGGCGTAAAGGCGCTTCAGAGATGATTTGAAATACATCCCAGTTACACATGTTACCCCTGCTGCTCTTTCAGGCGTGGTCACCGTGATCACGAACGATGGGCGCCACATCGTGGTGAGCTGCGCCAAGTCTGTCAATGATTCAAGCAACGCTGATAGCTATGGGCGTTGCGCCTGGGGTGCAGTCGCCTGAGGTGCAACCAGCATCGCACTGACGCCGCTGGTACTCGCTGCATTGGCGCCCTGGTGTATCCCAGCCCTCACCCAGCTCTGGCACCACCCAAATGTCAGGGCATTCTGCGGGGATACGACCAGGCAACCAACCTGATTTTGGAGGACTCTCACGAGCGGGTATACTCCACTAAGGTGCGTACCATTGCACAACGCTGTCGTGTGGCTGCTGGCTTGCGTGTGCCGCTATGGGCGGAAGCCGGCAGCGTGCGTGTGAGCGCCTGCCGACATGACATGTGGATGTTGGCTGGTCAATTGCTGTGCTGCCGTGGGGTGCTGTGGGGGAAGAAGTGGGCGCCGCTCTGGCGGCCTGGGCAGCGTTCCGAGGCGGCCGCCAGCAGATGGTGCGCCGTCCGAGGTTGCGAGTGCTCAGAAGCAGGCAGGGCAGCCTGGCGGTGCCTGGTGCTGCGTCTGCATCCCAGTTGGGCCCCAGGCCAGGCAGGATCGTTGGACCGCGCAGGAGCACTGCGGCGCAGGCGCTGCTTGGCAGGCAGCAGCAACCCAGCCGCGGTCGGCGCGGCTCTGTGTTGGTTGCTGGACGCACATTTAAATCTGCCCTTGCCGTGTGGGCACACAACGTCTGCACGTCTGATAGGCCCGTCTCTGCCTCCTTGGCACCCTCAAACCTGCAGGCGGGGGTAGATGTGCTGGCATTGGGGCTGTACGTCATCCGCGGGGACAACATGTGAGCTTAACAGCCGACACTCAGGGTTTGGGGTCCAACGTCCTTTGGGGGGGGGAGCGGGCGAGCAGCAAAGCCGTGGCAGAACCTCGACTGCACCCACGTCTGCCAGGCTGGCTTCCTGCCCTCAATCTGTGGAGCAGTGGTGCGGCAACAGATCCCATCATGCCATTGTCTGCATGCCGCCCGTCCTCAGCAACGCTGCAGGACAGGTCTGGGCACGCCCACATCTGCTGTCCCATTATCGCGCCCACCAACCTCCAATCCTCATAATGCATCCCACCACTGAGCCCCCTGCATTCATCCCTGTACCCCCGCAGCGCCGTGGTGGGGCAGGTTGACGAGGAAGCTGACGCGCAGCTGGACCTGGGGTCCATACGGGCGCCGCCCTTGAAGGCCGTCACGCACGGCTGACTGCAGCTGGCCGCGGCGCGCAGCAGAGCCGCCGCATTTGGCAGCGCGACAGCTGCTGTGGTGGCACCTGGTCGTACGCCCGACGGCTCACGCACGCGGATGTGTGCGCGGGCGCGCTGTCTCAGTGGCCGGGCTCGCCGTTGCGGTGGAGGCCTCTCTTCGGCCGGCTGTGGTCGGCTTTAAGCATTTCTTGTAGAGTGTTTGTTGGTGAGCACCCCCGTGTTTGCGCCGGTGTACCCCTTTTTCCTGGTGCCAAGTTGATGCTGCAGGCTCGCTTGTGTGCGTTGCCTGTTTCGTCTGTCGTCTTGCGTCGTTTGGATGTACAGTGCTTGTCTTTTACTTGGTCTCTCATCACACACTGCTCGGCGTCATTGTAACCCCATGAATGTTTCCATACTGCCGCAATACTTCAGTTATGGCCTCTGTCAACATTTCGTACTATAGCAGTCGGCCGCAGTGACTTCCGTGAGAGCGGCCGCATGACCGGGGCAGAGCGCAAAGCCTTGTGCCATGGAGGGGCGCAGTCACTGCAGGGGAACCGCGGACGAACCAACGCCAATCAAAGCCACAGTCCCAAAGCAGACGCCCAGCCGCTTGTGCAGCTGCACCAGCCGGGGGAAAGCAGCGAGCAGGCTGCCCCGTCACTGGACACGCAGCCGGCCCCCCCGCGCTGCCCACCAGACCCGGCGCCGCCCTCCCACCCCGGAGGTCACCGGCGTCACCGCTTGAACGTGCCCAGATCAACCGGTGCAAACAGGGGATCCTCCTCATCCTCATCCCCCAAATCGATCTCCTCAGGGTTGGGCGCCGCCGCCGCGGCCGCCTGCTGGCCACCACCGCCCGCCGCCCCTCCGCCGCTGCCCCCATCTGCTGCTGCCGCTGCTGCTGCCCCTGCCGCTGGCGCCTGCCCGCCGCCGCCGCCATCCATATCGTCATCTTCATCGTCGTCGATATCAATCTCCTCCGGGTTTGGAGCCGCCGGCGCCGGGGCCGCCGCCGCCGTCCCAGCCGCCTGCACCACGCTCCCAGGCACGAACATCGGCGCGCGGCCCGCGCCGCTGCTCCCGCCGACGCCGCCGTCCTGCCAGGGCTGCTGCTGCTGCTGCTGCTGCTGCTGCTGCTGCTGCGGCCGCTGCCAGCTGCCGCCGCCGCCGCCCGCGGACCCTGTGCCGTGCTCCAAGTTGAAGGGCCGCCCTATCAACTCAAACAGCGCCTCAGTCTGGGGGTTGCGCGCCACCGCCCGGGGCTGCGCCCCGCGGCGGCGGCCGGCGGAGGGGTTGTAGGCTGGTGCGGTCGGCGCAAAGTTCTGCGGGATGGTGGGGCCGCCGCGCTGCGCAAGGGCTGCGGCCACAAAGTCCCGGTCCTCCTGGCTCGGGCCTGAGAGGGGACGGATTTCGCAAGGGGTGCATGGGTTAGTGTGGCGCGGGGGTGGGGGCATGCGCGGGCAGGGGTCTGGCGAAGCGCTGATTGGTCAACAAGATGTGGGTGGGCCTGCTCAGGGCCGCCTAGCACGCATGATTGGATTGCTGAGGCGTGGCGGCCAGGGGTGGCGCGTAACGCAGCCTGGTTCCCCAAGCTGCGGCGCGGCACCGCAGCTTCAAGGCGAAAGAAGCAAGAGCTGAGATAAGGAACGCATTGGTTTCCGTCCCGGCCAACCGACGACCCCCGTGCGCCATAAGGCCGTGAGTCCTGCTCACCGGCGCGGCCGCCCCAGCCCTGCGGCAGCTGGGGGCCCCGCTGGTCCAGGCTGGTGAGGTGGTGGGTGGCCCTCAGCACTGCCAGCCACTCTTCGTCGTACTGCAGCTTCAGGGGGCCGGTAGCCTCCAATTCAAGCACCTTGGGGTGTGTGCGTGTGTGTGTGTGTGTGTGCGCACGTGCATGTGTGTGTGTGTGTGTGTGTGTGTCCCCATAAACGCAAATGCTTGTGTGGCACGCGAGGGCGAGGAGCTGACATTCTGATTGCCCCACCACCTGCCTGACAGACAGGCCTGCCCATCAAACCGGCCGCTTACCACTCCTGGACGCGACACGTCCACCAACTCTGGACTCATCCAGCCCCTTCAATCATACAGCGGCGTGACAATTCACCGGCGCCCCGGCCAACCCCACATGGCCCCACCTGCAAAAACTGCCGCCCGGGCAGGCACTTGTCCAGCGCCAGGAACCGAGTCACGCGCTCCCCGGCGCCCGTCCGCCCCGCCGCTCCCGCCGCTGCCCCGCCGCCGCGAGGCGGCGAGCCCGGCAGCCGTATCGGCCCGCCGCCGCCGCCGACGAGCCCGCCGCCGTCGCCGCCGTGCGGCACGACGGCCGCGAATTTGCAGTGCAGGTGGGCGCTGAACCAGTGGCCTGGCTGCAGCGCGTTGAGCAACTCGAGGTTGGCCGGGCTGCCCAGGTCGCCGCGCTCGGCCTGAGGGGCGAGGGCAGGAAGGTGTTGAGGGGCGCTAGTGTGTGCGTTTGGGTGTGTGTGCACGTGGATGCAAGTGGGGGAGGGACAGAGAGCTTGTGACATTTTGGGTGAGGAAAGGAGAGGAGAGTGTGTGTGTGTGTGCAAGGGGGTGGGAGTGTGTGCTTGAGAGTGAAAGCTTAGCTGGGTGTTGCTGCCCTCCGTATGGAGAGGCCGCAAGCCGCAGGCGCGGCTGTGAGAGTCGCGCCGCACCAATGAGCAGCCCGTCCCACGCTCAGCCGCTGTCGCCGTGAGTGAGCTGTGCCTGCTGCGAGCCTCATGCTTCCTCGACCAAGCCCCAACAAAGCCGGCAGCCCCCTGGAGCCTCGGCCCCCTCCCAGTACTCAACAAACAGCCTGGCGCCTGCCAAGCATCCTTGGAGCCCAGGCAGCGCTTCACCTTAAGAGTAACAGGCCCCAGTCTTTCAACCAGTTGCCCAAGACCACCGAACTCGTAACCCCGACCCCTCATATTCCTCCCACCTCTTTCTGGAAGTAGGGCTTTTTCTTGAAAAGCGCCGCCGCATCCCCGTATCGCGTGATCCACTGCGGCCAGTCGTGCGACACAAACACGTCCAAGGGGGCGCGCAGCTGCGAAGAGGGGCATAGAGGGGGGGGGAGCGGGGGGCGTCAGGGTGTCTACTACGCCACAAGGAGCTGGTGAATGCGTGCGCATTGTATACGCGCGCAAAGATGAGGAGGCCGGGTCGGGTATGGGAGGGTGGGAGGCCGTGGGCGGCGTTCGCAGGGAGATTGCAAGAGCCCGAGCGTCAGCGACACCCGAATTGGTGCACAGACGGGCGAGCTTGCACGCCCAGGCGCCGGATGCACCAGGAGCGCCGCCAGTGCCAGGGGCACAAGCCACGCATACCAACATGCACCAGCTGCCACGCTGGATGCCCATGGCGACGCCCCCACCACTGGTCCGACCGCAAAGTTTCAACCGCAAAACTTTCGTAGCAAAGCGGTATTTGCCTAGTCCCCTGACCTGCATGAGCCGGTGCACGTCCAGCTGGCGCACATGGTAGGCGCTGCGCATGCTGCTGGGGGTGTAGGGGGGCACCTCAAAGTGGCCCATCCTTTTGGGGGGCACGATTTCGGGGTGCGGCGGGGGCGGGATGCGGCGTGTTCCGGTGGGTGGCAATCACGGGGGCGAGGGTCGAGAAAACAGAGCATAGGAGGGAGTGAGCCGCGGAACATTGCCGCAGGTGCCGCGATGCCGCCAATGAGCTGGCACTGTTCGGCGCGCCCGGCACTGCCGACCTCTGCGCCCCTGCGGCCGCACGTCCCGGCAAACGCGCACCCTGACTTGTTCCGGCGCCTCGCCGTGCCGCCCTCCCCCTTCCCCCAAAACACCCACAGCACGCTGCCCCCCTCACAGCTCGGCGGTAAGAGCGGCAAACACTCAACGAATCACAATCTGCACAAAGACCCCAGCTTGCAGGCCCAATACATCGTGCTCCCTCAGGGGTTCGACCTGACAGAAGGTGGCGGCCCGCGCCCGCCCCAGCCCACCTGTAGTGGTTTTCTGTGTAGATGCCGCTCAGCCCCGCGATGCGCACGCCCCCAAACTTCACCACCCCGGCATAGCCCAGGAAGTAGATGTTGGGGGCCGCCCAGCCGCCGTGGTAGAGCTCCCACAGGTAGTTCGGTGCCTCGTGGTTGCCGCCCACTGGGCGGGCCGGGATCGCGTCGATTGGTTGGTGTGTCGCGTTGGGGTGTCGTTTGGCAGGAGGCGGCGCGAGGCGGACGGGAGGCGGGCGGCGGGCGGCGTGCGGCTCGGGCGGGGTCGGGGTCCGGCGCCCCTGCGTCCGCGCTCCCGGCACGCATATCCACGCGGCCAGATCGCCTGTCGGCAGCGGCGGCGCGCGCCGGGCAAGGTGCGCGCCGCGCCGGCGGGCGCGGCAGCGCCTTGTCTGCGTGGCGCTCACCGAAGAGCGTGGGGATGGGGGCCACCTTCTGGCCGGAGTAGTACTTCCAGAACGTCATGATTTCACGGTACTTTTGGGGCACAGACATTGTCTCGAGGTCATCCAGGTTGCGCACTGCCTGGTTTGTGTGTGAGGGGGGGGGGT